CAAATAACTTTCAATCCTTTCTCCTCTTTGCTGATTAATTTAAATTGACTCCTGAACATCCATACTTAGAAGGAATAAATTACTTTGGCCATCCATCTGGCATGATGAAGACCTGCTGGAGCTTTGAAGAATATTCCCTTGATAGGTGTACCGCCAAGGAATATAATTGTAAGTTATAATAATTTTTGATAATCTTCTCCAGATTTAAACATTTGTAACTGATCACATGTAAAACCATTATTTCATCTTTAACATCAGCATCTTCATGCAAAACACATTCATCACTTATTACTGTATGGTAGCTTTTGTGTCCAAGACATGAGCATCCACTTTGAAATTGCCTAAAAATTGGGGTATCAGGAGCTTTTGTGATTGGCAAAGAAGCAGATACAACAGACCCAAGCATTATGTCTAAAAGGTGGTGTCAGCATGTTAACCACAACAGTTCTTTCTTTGTCTTCTGCTCAAAGAGAACACATGCTTCTTTTTCACAGCCAGTGTTAGATGTTGTTATATCAAAACTTGTGCATTGTAAACCACCTTTACTGCAGAAATCCTAGTAATTGCAAGCAGTTGATCTACTCCTTCACCCAAAACCAATATAGGAAGACAGTCAACAGTCACATTTCCAGTTGTAACCTTTAATAGCTTTCCATCCCAGTGTACTGTCAAAGGAACTTGTGGCCTAAACTCTCTCTTCACATTCTCAGCCAGCTCATTTCAATGTTTCATTCTTTATCTTCAAGTAGATGAATAACTCATGCTAAATTCATCTGGATCATGACCAATGCTATGAATTGCAAATGCCAATATGATTGCTGCCCGTTGTTCACTGATCTTGGTTACATCCAGAGAAGCAGACAACTTGTCATTTAATAATACTTTTTGCTTTATTGGTCTTGCAGATTGACCACTGTTACATGGTGCCACTTCTTCATCAGCTGTTTCAGTCTCAGATTAAAACTCTGAAGACAACATGAGGCTAATTTTTTATTCAACTTTTCTTGTTTGACTTTCTCCTAGTAGACATGTTATCTTTTTTAAATAGTATGCTCTTTCTTTGCTAAGCACTTGGTCAACACCCATCATTTTACCATCAAATTTTGTATAAGAATATCATGGTAGCTTCTGAACTTGCATAATAGCACATTGTCAGCATGTTGTGTAAAGAAATTTTAATTGTAGCCTTTGAAATACAGGAAATATAACCTACCTCGACATGGAGTGAAAGAAAAACTCCCTCAGTCGACAAAAGCTGGCAGTGTACTGAGAGCTTTACCCTGTGGCTTGAGCATCCACAATTGCTGCATTAGCTAGAAATATTTTCTATGGTAACAACCTTTAAATGTGATTTAAATACAATGAAATTTTACTCAAAGTACTTTTTTTTATTAAAAATAATAAAATGATGGGGTGCCTCTTTGAAATATCAAGATTTTAAATTTTTGAATCACCCTAATACACACACACATGAATATTCAAAGCACCACCAAGTTTGAAATATCATACCTTTTTATTTATATTTTTCGATTTTGGTATGTTGATAGCACTTTCCCAGTTTAAACACTGCTCTTGAGCTGACAGCTCTTCTTGTATCTAGCACTATAAAAGAGCCATTGGTTGAAGATCAGTGTTAAAGCTGTGAAAGCACTACCAATCTACTGAAATCAAAAATATAAATAAAAACATATATTTCAAACCTGTTGATGTTTTGAAAATTTATATGTATATATATATATTGAAATTCACTAGGTTTCAAAAAATTAGGACAGCTGATGTTAGTAGATACAACATGCAAAATATCAATGGTTTTTATGACTTGAGGTAAATTGC